AGATTTGATTTTGACTTCATACACTATAAACAGTCTGCCTGTTTGCTGTTCAACAAATAAACTCCTAAAGACATGGCTAGGAAAAGCCAAGTATTTTTGGATACGTTATAACTCGAAAACGAAGCAAAAACCAGCGACAAAAATACAGGGCCGCGTTTTTCTATTACATTGGAGACCACATGCAAAAATTCAAGCCCTTTCGCGAAATTTTTTTTTTTCACCCAAATCGTCACTTAGCATGGTTTTGCACTCACCCTTTCAATTATAAATATCGCTCAAAAAATTTAGCTTGAAAACTCACTTTGCGACAACTGAACTGAAACTGTTGAAAAATGTACAAAATTTAGGATAAAAACTTACCAATCAACAAATGGCAAAGTTTCCTGAGAGGTTGGTAACACTTTGCACTTTGTTGGGCTTTCAATTTTGTGTTACAGAACTACAGTTACTGTTTGTATTCTCTAATGTAATTGGTTTATTTGGGAAAAAGATCTCTATCCCGTGGCCCTGTTTGAGACGTTGCACTGCGGAGGGATTGGGTCAAGCTATGAGCATGCACACTGAGCTGAGTTGATTATCAACTAATTGAATTCATCTGATAATGGTCAATTAACTGCCAGAGCCTATTTGGAAAAGCATACACTTCAAACATTAGCCTTTAGTCAAAGCAAAATGATCTGGGTTGAGTTCAAGTGAACTGATGCAAGGATTTTCATTCCTTCTTTCCATCTTTTCTCTCCCAGTTTGTAACCATTTTTATTCAATTCCTGATTTTTCTTACACTCTGCAATCAGAATTATTTTGGAATGCCAACTACCTGAAGCAGCACTGGTTGAAACACTTCCTATAATATTCCCCAAGACATCCAGAAGTGATACTGTACATGTAGTCATCTCTTATTTGTGAAATAACAAAAACCATGTTACTTTATAAAATTCTTTCACTTTATGTTTTACATATATGTTTAATATCTGAGCTGTAGTGAATCCAGAAATAGGCTGACCGGATCAATGACAGGTTCTGCAGAACAGAAACCTAAAACTTTCATCAGATTGAAATGTTTCTGGGTAGATGTGTTTACTTCTGGAGACATTCTTCCTTTTGCTTGGAAATATCAAAAACAACAATAACAAACACAGGCATGCAAGGCATGCATGAGTTATTATTTTGTGAATTAAAAGCCTCTGGAAGTAGCAGTACTGTGACAAGGTTAATCCAACAATTTACAGCAAAAAAAAAAAAAATTGGTTTCACCTTAAGAAGTGTACTATCAAGCCTAGTTCTACCAAGGGTTAATTTGACAATTCGATCAATGGCTTTGATTATATGAACTCTAATAAGGAGCTTTTACCCGCAAGACAGCTACAGCTGTAAGTTATGCAGTCTGAAATATTAGCTTATGGTAAAAGCAGATTGGTGGGCAATTTTTATGGACTCATGAAGACCAAGAACTAATTTGATGCAATAGCATGGTCTTATTCTGTTGCCAGCATTTTACCAGATTGATTATAGTTTCTTCGGTTTTGACATTCCAAGAAACCACTTCAAATTAATATCATTTTTAAAAGCCATTTAATCGAGAAGGCACTTTTAAAGGTGAAACAACCAGAACTCTGAAACAGAGTATACATTTTTTAAGACACCACGAAATCTGCAGAGTTTGGGAAGTTGTCTTGTCTCATAACCCTTCCCAACACCTGAGAGCCTTTTTGGTGAAAGGAAAAATAGAGTAACCTTACAGAAAAATTAACTTTCTGAGAGACGTAAAAATTTACCTCTGTTAATTGTGCAATCAATTTTAACAACATACCATCCAACGTTGTAAGCAACAATTTGATTGGTTCTTTAATAAACACCCTCAATGTGATTAGTGTTTGATCGTCCTGGAAACATTCCCGCTTCCTCCCAAACAACGTTGATTTTCCTATTTCTAAGACTACGCAGATCACAGTACCCACACAACATTGAACTAGGGGGCAGGGGTACCAGAGAGTTATCGCTAGATATAAATTAAATAAAATTGAAATAAAAAAACTAGAAATTTAAAAGCACTTGTATCTCGTGACATTTTCTCTGCACCCCCTACCCAGGCAAGAACCTCAATATGGTCTTGCATACTTCCAAATGGAATAATAACGATGCAAAATTCCATCACCATGTCTAATTTCCACGAGAGACATTGTGTCAATTTTTTACTGACAACAACAATTGTTTCAAATACAGTCGAAGGTCCACCTTGGACATTCCAAAAAGTGGTCACATATAAGAATGGGTTCTCATTGTTTCAGTTCAGTATGTGATGTTTTGCAACTGTTTAAAATTGAGACATTTGTGGTTGCATTTTAATGTTCTCTTAATTAATTGATTTTTAAACAGCACAGCTCTCATTAATAAATGTCTGGTGCAAGTTTATCTTTTCAATGCAATAACTACAGGGAACATACAATCTAGTTCAGTAGGATGAGAATAAGATAGCCTAATATGACCCTAAGGTGGAGCATTTCAATGCCAATTTTGGTTCCACCTATACCATAAGTGCCACTTGTAAATGTGCATCAGCATGCTGACTTCCCTCCCCTTTCACTGAGATCCTTAAACAGGCCAATTTTGCATCCTAGATGGTTTTAGAATTCAAAATGTCCCATGCACCAGAGGTTGTGCAAGGAGCCATCTTGGTAAGTTTCCAATTGGGCGGCCTTCAAGTCTGATCTAATTGATTAGTGGTTCAACTTGCCGCCATGGAGTCTTTCCATACTAAAATTTAAAATCTTTAGTTAACAAAACTCTGGCAATGACAAATGTTTTAAAATTCCCTTTATTGGAGTACTTATAATTTGCAACAAATTATATATCAAAATGCCCCTAGAAACACAAATAACAAGAAGAATCACTGATTCATTGGTTCTATTGCAACCACTCATCCCAGCCCATAAAACAAGTGTAAGTGACCATTTGTAAGCTTACCTAAAAATAAAATGAGCTCATTACATTACTTGCAACAAAAACAAGTTTTAAAACTCAGGTCATTAGACTTAAAAAAAGTTCAAAACAAAACAAATATCGGATCATACTTTCAGTTCCCTTGATCGTAACCCAGCATGTAACAATGCTCAACGACTCAGTGAGAATGTAGAGAAACCTTTGATTTGTCAGTATCCTCATACGTGGACTCTTGGAAGCACCACTTCACCAAAACGAGCCAGCGTTGATTAGTTCCACCTCAAGGTAACACGACCTTGTTCCGTAAGTAACAGTGAATTTTGTATTTAGATGTTTAATTGTTAAGTAGTTACCTAATGTCCACAGTGATGGGAAACCCTTGTGAATTATAGATAAATAAACAAATAAATAAATAAATAAATAAATATAACGTAACGTTTTGCTGGTTTCAGTGATTTCTGTTGGTATTTCCACAGTACTCAAAGTAGAAATCCTCATTTGAAAATACCTTTTCTCTTTTTTCTTTTACAAAAAATAATTTAAAAATTAAGTTATCTAAAATATTCATTACCCTTTGTTGGTACCTCCAATGGCTTCCCCTTTCTTCCATCCCATTCCACGCAACATGGCTGCTCCAAATGATGACACAGGCATCTCCTCATAGTCATCCATTGTGCTCTAAACAAAGTATTGACTTGTGAACATCAAGACCAATTCAGGGATCAAAGTGTTGAGTGTTATGATTATTTAATCCTGAGCTTGGTTGCTCAAAGCATGATTAAAATACCCCACAATATACAAAACATTCAATTTAAGTTCTTTTTTCAAGTCAAACTATGCAAAATGTCAGCGATAAGTAATGTCTTCATACAAGAGAAATGACTACCTTTTAATCCAAGCTAAGTGCTAATTAGCTTTCCCACAACCTATTCCTGAATAAGACAACTTTTTACGCAGGGCTATCATAAATAGTTGCTGTCAGTATCTATTGGAGGGCCATTATGAATGGTACCAACTTCCTGGACACGGTGACAAGCTTACAACAAGAGTACAATACAGATTGTTTCAAGTAAATACAACTGTAGGATCTATTTTGGATCAGGGCAGGAAAAAAAATTGGAAATCCACTTGCCCAGAGGGCCAGTACATTTCAGTTTTTAGTTGCCAACACTAAAATATTACTTGCCCAATAGGAGTGCAATGTTCATACCTTATCAACTTCATAAGACTAGTGAGACAATCTCAGATGGTGCAGACTGCAATTATATTAGGAAGTTTAAGCAAATCACTACAGCTGGTGCTATTACAGCTGCTGTGACTGAAAAGGTCTGGGGGAGAGTACGAGAGTAGGTTATTTCTGAGCGAAAGCGAATGCCATACACTTTGTACCATACAATTTGATGGATGAAATATATAATTTCAGAGACAAA